TATAGATCATTGCATTGGTTTTACAGTGTAAATATCTATATCTATATTTTCTAGTTATTTATTTTTTTACAGTGTGCTGTTTGACCCAGACTCATCTGACAAGAACTTTTAATCTGAAAAATCCCTCCTGACTTCCTGTATGGAGATATGAGGTTGTGTGTGTGTGTGTGTGTGTGTGATATACGAGGCTGCTATTAAACTCAACCTGGAGACTCTAAAATGGAGTTCTGATGGCGGAGATGAACTCTGAGGCTGCGGCAGGTTGGCTGGACGCCCGGAGGAAACACTCCTGGAAACCCCTCATCTTCATCCTCACAGGAGGAGGATCTTGAAGGAAATCTGAGATCTTGTTTCATCAATAATTCACCTCGTCTGCTTCGTCCTTGCAGGTTTAACAGGACGCTGAATTATTATCAGAGAACAGACGATTTGTCTCTTTTTATTTCCTCCTGTTTACATCCAGAGCTTCAGTTCACGGCTCATCGTCTGGATTAATGCACAGAAATGTGTTTGTGTTAGTCAGAGCACGTTTGTGATCAGTGATCAGTGAGTTATTGAAAGAAAGGGACAAAGCTTACGTGAATGTCGAGCAGCCAGAACCAGAACAGGAAGTCCAGCAACAATAATCCATAATCCATAAATCACAGAACCACTGAGAACCACTGAGCACACGGTTGGTTCACACAGGAAGTCACATTAACTCCACACAGGTGAAACTAATCAGGACGCAGACAGGAAGTGAAGTTCTTTACTTTATTCAACTAACAAACAGGAAGCAGCAGGTTGTTCAATAATCCGCACAGTCAGTAAATGTTTCCTTCATACTCATTTTTAAATGCTACAAAGCTTAAAGCAACTTTAACTAATCTCCACTAATGGATCAAATATTATTATATAAACAATAAAAGGAAGTGAGGAAAGACTCTTTCAACATCAAACAGGAAATAACTCAAACCTAAAGCTATGACGCCGTTGGGTCTCTAACGAGAGCAAAGAGCGGGAAAAAGATTTCACTTAATGAGCTGCAGAGATTCAGATTTTAAGAAATTTACAAGAATTAAAAAATAAAAGAACAACAGAGAACCTCATGACCTCATCGTCCTGGTGACATCACTGCGTACCAACAAACATCACAAACACCTGAAATTAATATGAACTTATATTAATATTATTTTATTTATTTACTTTCTCCTCAAACAACTTTTAAAACAAAACAAAATAAATCTGTTCCTGCTCCCGTCTCCATGGTAACCGGAGGACGCTCCAGTGGATTTGACCTCTGACCTTTACCTGTTTTTTAGGTTTAAAAGTAAAATCTGTAAAACACACAAATGTCAGCTTCCTGCCAGCAGGCGGCGCCATTCAGACACTTCCTGTTATTTCATATAGTAGTAATATGAAATATAAAGTATTTACTGTATATTTCATATTGATCAGTATCAATAACAGCAGCTGATCAACTGATCAATGAACCCAAACAGTGAACTCCAATCACTGCCAGGAAGTTTTGATATTTCTGTGAATATTGCATCAGAGATGAAGTTTTCCGAGATTATATTGACTCCATTCTCTTGATATTTTTATCATTTTAACAATCAAGACCTATAATATTTCTTCTTTCTGACAGATTCACCTGTTTATTGATCCTATCAGCTGATTGCTTTCTGATGCAAAGACGAGACTGTTGATCAGAGACTGAAGCTCTGGCACTGTACACTGCGATCAATAATAATAATAATAATAATAATAATAATAAATATATAAACTTTAAAAACAGCAGTTTATATTATTATTATTATTGTGCTGAGTTTTGGACCCACTGTGTATCTTTTAAAGTCAATAAAGCCCTGTGGATTCAGACCGAGGCACAATCAGACGTACTGTGCTACTTATTGATCACTGCCACAGTCAGTGTGTGTGTGTGTGTGTGTGTGTGTGAAATCTGGAATTTATTCTTAAATTAAGATCAAAAACCTATTCTGACCTTTGACCTTTGTGTCAGTGTCACCTGCTGTTCCTCGGTTACGATGGTAAATAACGGACATAAAAGTGGTTTTCCAGGACGTTATGATGTCACAGTGAAGCTGACCTTTGACCTTTTAAACGTCTGAGTGACATCATAACTGCATCCACTTGTGTAAGAAACGTGTTTGTCACCGTCATTATGAGACAAAAGCGACCTTTGACCTTTAAGCACCAAATTATAGTGAGTTCATCCTTGTTCATTATTATTATATTTTATTATATATATTAAGTTATTTTCACATTGTGCGTCTGATACGAGGGAATTCTTCAAACATGTTTCTGCATCAGCAGTGAATAACTGACTGTGTGTGTATGTTACTGTGTGTGTGTGTGTTACTGTTGTGTGGTGTGTGGGGGTGTGTTGTTCATCGTCCCAGCAGCTCCTTTTTTAACTGGCTAACAGCAAAAACAACACTGCTGTGTAACACCTACACACACACACACACACACACATACACACTTCTACAACTGCTACAAACAAGCACTAATACTACGATCAGTGTATCGATCAATATCCTCTGTCATTGATACTTCACACTGTACACCCTGATGAATTACTTTAAGTTAAGTTAAGTTAATTGAACCTAAAACTAATCAATCTATTACACTCACATAAAAAACTCATTACAATTAATCGATTGTTAAGCCAATTAATTTTGGGGCTTATATTTTTATAACGATATAAAGTGAACATAAAGAAAATGAGTTAATGAAACAAACTGTAATCATATCATCAATAATTTAAAAAGTTCACTGAAAACAACTCAGTTACTTTAACACTTTTAATTAATGTGAACGAGTGAATTAAACCTTTTGGATTAATTTATGTTATCTCAAAATAATGGTTCAGGCGTCTGTTTTAAACTGAATTAATTGGATTGATACGAAAATACGAATGTTTTAACATATTGTGAGAAAGTTTCTCACTATAATAACTTACAGAATCTTTTTTCTCATCACATTTTATAACTGAACTTTATGAGCAGGAACTTCCTCTGTGTGGAAGTCTGTCATCACAAAGAAAGTCATCAATGCCAGAGAGCACAGAGGAGAGGAGGTTGACAGACACGTTTCAATTTGTAACATTCGCCGAATTTACAAGAAGCTCCAAATAATTAAATAATTAACAATCTGTCATAGACTGCGACTCATAAAGTCATTAAACTTTCTTCTCAATCAATAACTCTTAAAATTAATTAATTAATTATTAAAAAAAAGATTTTTTAAGGGAGTCTGGTGTTTTCTAGTTCCTGTTGATATGGATAGGTCAGACAGCTCTTAATTATTTATTTATTTGTTTGTTTCTTTGTTTACCTGCCTACCTGGGACAATGCACATTAATCCACATTGCAGTTTACACCTTAATGTTCACTAAGAGTCGGGCTTACTGACGTTAGGACAGCGTAATGCTAACAAGCGTGAAGGAGTATTGAGAGGAGAGCTAGCAGGAGAACTTTCTTAACTCCTCAAACATCGACAGCAAATCGACTAAAACAGCGTAAAGAGAGAATTCAAAGGATGGAGCCACCTTGAGCCCCATTAGCCGTAAGACTCGACTTCCCTGAACCCCAATGGTCCTCCCGGTCCTCCTTCATGTATCCCATCACGTCCTCGTAGTTGGGTGAGGCGGCGTACTGCTCGCACAGCGACCCCTGCAGACTGGGAGCGCACACTGCAGACATCCGGACATACAGCGAGCCGTGGTTCAACTTGAACTTCTTGTTGATGTTGCGGCCCATTGTGGGGATGAGGTTCACTCTCCCCAGCAGGTCATCGTTCCAGCGGTTGTCCCGGTCCCAAACCTCGAAACGGATCGGTCTGTGAAGGAAATACATCCACAAAATCAACAAAAGAGCAGGTGACCTATGAACATCCTGGGCGTCGACCAACAGTTAGCAAGCTGGATGCCCCTGCCTCGCTAGTAGAAAGCTACCGTTAGCTTTGTACCATTAGCATCATTTATTGTCGGCAAAAATCAACACTGTCTGTCAGAATACATATGTTAGTATCCAGCTGTACAATCGATAGGATTTGTTTATTTGCCAAGTAGTTTTTAGCCTACGGGATATGTGACTGGGTGGCAGTTGGTGCATAAATATACAATATACAAATCAAATATACAGTTATTCAATCACTAAAAATCACACAGAAAATTAAGATTTCAAAAAACATTAATAGCCTTAAAGATAAAGAACAGTGAACAGAGTAAGCTGTGCAGAAGAACGTGGGTGCACAAATTAGCTTTAGTCTCAGTCTGTTAGCGTAGCATAGCATCATTAATTGTTGCCAACATGACATAATAACTACATACGTTAGTATCATGGCATAACGTTAGCTGAGGAAACATATCCACTCAGATAGTATTTTGCTAGCGTTAACGTTAGTGAGCAAGCTAAGAAAACAAATAGAAATCAGGCAACAGAGAAAGTTGCTACGTTACAACCCAAAAGATAAAATGTTTCACTCTCTTAAATCTGGAACCTATAACACCTCATGCTCTATTCAGTTCCTGAACGCCTCACTTCTGTCAGGTTGGGTCGGGTCTGATCTCAGCCGTAGACATTTTATCTGAGATTATTTAAAGTCAGATTAGTGGAGATTAGATTTACTCACTTTCTGTAACGGAGGTTGACGGTTTCAAAGCGAATGAGGTAGTTCCAGGAGGGGAAGTCGTTGTTCCATATCACCGGTGTCGTGGCTCCTTGTGTACCGTAAAAGACCTTAACGTATCCATCCGTCTTGGACAAGTAGTCTCCCCACAGCCCCACAGCTCGGATCACCGTCACGTTCATCCGGGCCACGCCGGGCTCAGCAGGGCAGCAGTTGGAGCTGACCATGCGGTGTCCTCGACACTGACAGGCACAGTTCTGGTTCTGGTGGCCGATCTTGCAGCTGGCCGGGCATCGGAGCGGCTTGGCACTTTTGCGGATGTAGTCGCTGATGGCATTACGTAGGCTGGACTTTAGGACAGGGTTGTCTGTCACCTAAAGAACAGACACAAAGAGTTTACTTAGAATGAATGAATGAATGAATACAAACAAGGTTATTGGTATGGAGACAACTGATAAGATAATAAGTTTTAATATTTTCATTCGGGAAGAAAAGTGTGGTGTTGTGCATTGATGTGCCACTTTTATGGTCGCAGGCACACTCAAATCTCGAATATCTTCAAAATCTCCTAATTGATTGAAAGAATGGGGCAAAATAAAAAACTTTAACATGCACTCTTTCTGCAAAATATATGCCCTGTATCCTACTCATAACTCTTGCCTGTATTTCGCAGTAATTTAGTATTATTGGTCACAATGGACTCATCAATTCCCTATCCTTTTATATAATTAGTGTCAAATTACTTGACTTAAATTATGGAAATAAAGACATAATATGGCTCCCAATCATCATATTCCTTTACTAGCACTCACTAATAAATGAGACAGACGACCTGTGGACCTTCATTTACCAGCATGACCCATTGCCTGTATCTTAAACCTCTGACCACTGTCTGTATTGTACTGTTTTGCAATTAGTATTTAATGGTCAAAAGACAATTTTATTCAACTGTCTCTTCACAAGGAGATTTATGTCATTATTATTGAAAAGTATTCATACTTCCAAATAACTCCTAAATATTCGTTATCCATTAATTAATCAAATAAAAGGAAGCTTGACTACTGGTATCTACAGCACTGATGTCTGTCCTGTATTCTGGCTCTGTCCTCTGTAATTATTATTAAAATTATTTGCCTTGTTAGTAGCTCGCCTTAATGTGTTCCTTCACCAGCATGTGCAGCGGGGCTGTCTTGGTAGGAAACACACTGGGACCTCCTAAGGGAAAGGCCATTCTTATATCCTGCCAGCACCGTTGGTGTTGAATAGGATGTCCCCCTATCCCGTCCCTTCCATAACCTCCGGTGGTCGGTCGGGAGAAGGGCCTTGGCTGAATGTAAGCTCCGATTTTAGCTTTGCTCTTGGCGTGGCAGAAGCCGGAGGCCGCACTGATTTGACCCCCCTTTGTGACTGCGCTGCGCTCGGACCAGAAGACGTTGCTTACGGTGGGTGACGGAAACTTGCTCAGTGGCCGGCCGAGATGTTGGCTTGCCTATTCCTTGATGGCTGATGCAGTCGAACCTCACGAAGGATCCCCGCTGTATGTTCCACCGTTGAGCGCTGACTTGACGACGAATGGCGCGATGCCGCCCAACCACACCTGGTGTAGTAGGTCAGTCATTGAACCTGGTTTTGTCAACATGGCCGACTAGACTCGATTCTCACGTGGTCGACACACATAGGTTGTAACAGCGGAGAGAGAAGATGGTTTTCTTCAGGGAACCTCAATTTCTATATATATTTTTTTACTACTCTCAGCGGAGGGCTGGGCTGTCATGCGGAAGTTGTCATGTACACTCAAGTATGAAGATTGATCCTATTTATAGCATATAAAAGCTGGTCGTAGAAGAATGTTCATTAGCAGTTCTTAACGCATGATAAATACAATTTGCTGCAGCCCTCCAACGTTACAAAAATAAAGGGTGTTTCGCTCTCTCGCAAAGAAGATATTGTAGGCTCTATAATCCGTGTTTAGTATTATGCACAGTGGTGAGAGATTAGTGGCTGTTGTTTTGTTGTTAAGAGGCAAGAGACTTGTCTTTCCTGGTGCGCCTCTGCCAACTTCCAGATGGAGATCGGAGGTGGCTTGATCTTTCCGGACTGAATAACCACGGTTCCTGTGGTATCTGGGGGCCCACCCTCTAGGTCACCTCAAAACAGGGTGACGTGAACGTTCACATAAAGCCTCATCAGCTGGAGTTTAAAGTTATTACAGAAACCTCCACTTCAGCTGGTTCGAGGATGAACTTGTCTCGTCTCATGTGACAGGACTGCGACTGGACTCGAAGATCTCGTTCTGCTCCAGGCTGCGCCCGGCATCTGCACTCATGGAGGACACGAGAGGGGATGTGGGTAATGCTGGTCATCTTCGACATTCGCACAATGTTAAAGTCAAGTACATTTTTGCTCTTAGCATATATGATATACGTTTTAACTTATTTTATTTGTGACATTAATAATGGAAATAATAATACAAGTTTAATTATAAAGGAGCCCTCTACGTGGCGCTCCAGGGACACCGTAATGGCACCCTAAAAATTTAGTAAAGTGTAAGCAGAGAAACAGATATAGCATTAACAGGACAATGTAGAGAGTTATTGTAGGGGCTATGGCTTCTAAAAGGTGAGTTTTTAGTCTTGATTTGAAGAGTGTGAGAGAGACCAGGTTCCTGAGGTCCGGTGGGAGTTAGTGTCATTCTACATTGTTGTTTTGGTACTTTTACAACATCAAGTCCTCCTTTTATTAATATTAATTGATGTTAGTTGATGAACCGACCTTGATCCTCCAGTCCACGACTGACACCGGGAGTTTCTGGGTCTGTTTGAGGAGGAAGAACAGGAAACATCATCAGTGATACAGGATCTGTATCAGTTACAGAGTTGACGTTTGGCAACTGAAAGCCTTTGATTGGCTCCTGGAGGCACAAATAATCTTACTAATTATTACTAATATTTGGTAGCATTTGTGATCATTTAGCTAGCTTATCCAGAAGACTAGTTCAAAGCAAGCAGCAACCTCTGTGACTGCAAATGAATCCAACACTGAAATAACAAACCCTGCAGTTTCTCTAAAGTCCACTAGAGGCTGGCTTGACCACACTGAGCTTCACAGCAGCTCTTCCACCTGTTGAGGACGTCACTATGGTAATGTTAGCTCTCTGTCTTGTAGCATAATGTTAGCTCTGCCTACCGTTATATTATTAGTTTTTTAAGTATTTTTTGGGGCTTTTATAGCCTTTAATTGATAGAGAGAGAGGATGACACACAGCAAAGGGCCACAGGTCAGATTCGAACTCTGGGCCGCTGCAGCAACTCCATACATGGGTCGCCAACTCCACCGACTGAGCTAACCAGGTGTCCATACCGTTATATTATTGGTTGAAACTAGTAAGTTCTTGCTGACATAAGCACGTATCACATTTAGTTTTATAGTTATATAAAAACACAAAGAAATTGAGTTTTTGTGCATTTTCTGTCAAACATTGTTAAATATAGGAACAATATAACTGAGGATGAGATCTTAAAGGGTTAAAATTACATAAATTTCCCCTGGACACCTCTTTGGTCATTATCTCTTATATAATGACCCTATTAAACACATTACAGTGATATGCATTTGTTATGAAATAAGTGAAATTAGGGCTCTACCTGGTTGAGGAGGCGGTTCAGGCACACGGTGCAGTTCCCCTGGGCTCCTCCCACCATGAAGTTCTTGACGTCGACCACGCTGGCTCCACTGGTCTGCATCTTTACCACGTCGAAGCCCTCACCGGCCAGGTTGTGCCCCGGCACGAACGGGACCTGCTGGCACTCAGTGAAGGAGCTGGTCTGACAACCAAGAGACCGAGGGAGGAAGAGGAGGAGGAGGAGGAAGAGAGGGGAGGAGGAGAGCATCGTGGAACTGAAAGGAAGAAAGTGAAATTACGTTTCTGTTAAAATGATTGTTTTTTATGTTTTACTCTAAAACGTTTACTGAAGAGATCTGAGGAAAATAAAATGTGTTTTTCTGAATGATTTATGCAGATAATATAAAAACATCAAATATAAGAGTTTCTTCATGTTTCCTGCTGTCACAGTAAATATAATACATATTAACAATAATACACAGTACAATATAATACAAAGTAAATATAATACACAATATATGATAAACAGTGAATGTTTTGGCTTCTGTGTTTTTATTATTTTGTGTTTTATAAGAGTTAATTTGACCTTGAGGTTTTCTATTGTAAATGTAATTATTACATTTATTAAATTTACATACTGATGAAAAAGGACAAACAGCATTTCAACTTTTACTTAAAAATGTTTGAAACTCATAATATTACAAACAAATAATGCAAAGAAAAAAACTAATTTTCTGAGAAAAATTATTTTTACAACTTTTACAGAAAAACGTCAGAATATTTAGAGAAAGTTAGAAAAAATAAAGTTATAATGATTGTTATGAGAGTGAAGTTTTGTGAAGGAAAAAAGTTGTATAATAATATTAATAATTATCACTATTATTTTTATTTTTAAGAAAGTTTTCACATACGAGGAATTTGCTTTAGTAGGTTGGTGCAGAACAATCACAATGAAGTGTATGACAATATAAATAAAGATAAAAAGATAAAAAAAACTATAAAGGAGCTTTTATGTACAAATATAAAGTTTGAAGAGGAAGTCCAGAAAAAGTTGTAATATTTATTTATATTTTAACAGTTTATTACTGTTAATTTGTACTAATATTAATTTTACATCAGCAACACGTCTGAAGACTTTGAGGTTTGTAGGAACGTTTGAGGATGAAATCTAGACCCTGATGAAAAGTATTGTTAAATAAAAAGTAATAATAATATTAATAATTAGTAATTAATAATCAATTTATTTATTTATTTACTAAACTGGAGACGGTCGTAAAATTAATCAGGATTTTGACTTAATATTTACATTCATATATACACACATGTTTCTATACTGTGTGTAGTTTTATTTCCATCTTTAGTCATTTTGTAATCTTTATTTTCTTTTTTCTATTCACCCACTTAGAGTCGGGGTCTGTCCGAGGTTGCCCCTGTCTCCAAGGTCTTG